TTATTAAATATTATAATTTTATTAATAATAAAAACCTAATATAATTTGCAAAAATATAATATAAATATTACCAAAATTTATTAATTAATTTTCTATTTAAAAAATATAAGTAAAAAATAGAAAAATTATGTAAAATAATAAAAATATAATCCATTTTTCTTCTAAAATCCCCTTAAATCGTCCTAAATATTCATTATAGTAATATTGCTATTTTCAAAAAAAAAGAATAAAAAGTCAGTAAAATCATAAAAATTCAACTTAAGTTTTATCTAATTTTGATGGTTAAAGGCATGTTTCTATTATAAAAAGTAAAAAAATCAGAAAAATTGACTAAAATTCAATTTAATTTTCGTTTAATTTGATAGTTAAAAGTATATTTTTATTATAAAAATTAAAAAAAAATCAGAAAAATTTAACTTAAGGTTTGTTTAATTTTGATGATTAGAGGCATGTTTCTATTATAAAAATAAAAAAAATCAGAAAAATCAGCTAAAATTCAACTTAATTTTCGTCTGATTTGATAGTTGAAGACATATTTCTATTATAAAAAGTAAAAAAAAAATCAGAAAAATTGACTAAAATTCAACTTAAGTTTCATCTAATTTTGATGATTAAAAGTATATTTCTATTTTAAAAAGTAAAAAAAATCACAAAAATTTAACTTAAGTTTCATTTAATTTTAATAGTTAGAGACATGTTTCTATTATAAAAAGTAAAAAAAAAATCAGAAAAATTGACTAAAATTCAACATAATTTCATTTGATTTGATAGTTAGAGGCATATTTTTATTATAAAAAGTAAAAAAAATCACAAAAATTCAACTTAAATTTCATTCAATTTTGATGATTAAAAGCATGTTTCTATTATAAAAAGTAAAAAAAAATCAGAAAAATTGACTCAAATTTAACTTAATTTTCGTCTAATTTGATAGTTAAAGGCATATTTCTTTTATAAAAGATAAAAAAATCAGTTTGTTTTTTATATATTTTGAAAAATTGATTAAAATTCAATTTGATTTTCGTCTGATTTTGATGGTTAGAGACATATTTTTATTATAAAAAGTAAAAAAATCACAAAAATTCAACTTAATTTTTATCTGATTTTAATGGTTAGAAACATATTTCTATTATAAAAAGTAAAAAAAAAATCAGAAAAATTGACTAAAATTCAACTTAATTTTCGTTTAATTTGATGATTAGAAACATATTTCTATTATAAAAAGTAAAAAAAATCACAAAAATTTAACTCAAGTTTCATTTGATTTTTATGGTTAAAAGCATATTTTTATTATAAAGAGTAAAAAAAATAAGAAAAGTTGACTAAAATTCAATTTAATTTTCATCTGATTTGATAGTTTAAGGCATATTTCTATTATAAAAAATAAAAAAATCAGTTTATTTTTTGTATATTTTGAATAATTAACTAAAATTTAACTTAAGTTTTGTTTGATTTTGATGGTTAAAGGTATATTTCTATTATAAAAAGTAAAAAAAAATCAGAAAAAATTGACTAAAATTTAACTTAATTTTTGTCTAATTTGATAGTTAAAGGCATGTTTCTATGATAAAAAGTAAAAATAATCAGAAAAATTGACTAAATTTTAACTTGATTTTCGTTTGATTTTGATGGTTAAAGTAAAAAAAATCACAAAAATTTGATTTAATTTTCATCTGATTTTGATGGTTTAAGGTATATTTATATTATAAAAAATAAAAAAATCAGAAAAATTGACTAAAATTCAACTTAATTTTCGTCTGATTTTAATAGTTGGAGACATATTTCTATTATAAAAAGTAAAAAAATCAGTTTATTTTTGAAAAGTTGACTAAAATACAGCTTTTTCTTCGTCTGATTTTGATAGTTGAAGGTGAAAATTAACTAAAATTTAACTTGTCTTTTTGTTTTTAGAACGAATTTTTTTTGGTATTTTGGTGAAATATAAAAAGAGAAAATTTGAAAATGATTAAAATTATTTTTTAAAAAGTTAAAAATTAAGTTTATTTATATAAATATTTCTATATACCAGAAATAAATTCAAATAGTACATTAAATCAATATTATTTTAGCAAATCAATTTAATCTGAAAGTTTAGTTTATTAGAACAATAAAATTGTTATATCTAAGGTATAATAATACTATTATTCCTTAGGTATGATAAAATAATCATTTCTTAAGAATGATAAAACTATTATACCTTAGAAACAATAAAACCATCATATCTTAAGAATGATAAAATAGTTATACCTAAAATATAATAATACTATTATTCCTTATGTACAATAAAACTATTGTATCTAAGGAATAATAATATCATTATTCTTTAGATACAATAATACCATCATTTCTTAGATACAATAAAACTATCTTACCTAAAGAATGATAATACCATTGTTTCTTAAGAATAATAAAATAATCATTTTCTTAGAAACAAAAAATGCATTATATTTTAGGAATTATAAAACTATTATTTCTTAGGTATAATAATACCATTATTTCTAAAAAATAATAAAACTATCATATCTTAAGAATGATAAAATCATCATACTTAAGATACTATAAATATATTATTTCTTAGATATAATAAAATTATCATTCTTAAGGAGTGATAATACCTATTATACCTAAGAAATAATATAATTATTCCAATTAGACGTCAATTAGTTATAAATAAGATAAGTCAAATTTTTGCTGATTCTTAGCTGATTTTTGATGTATGCCAATCAGCTAGACTGATTTTTGATAATTTGCTGAATTTTAGGATAATTTTAGACTAATTTTAAACCGATTTTTACATGTCCAATTTTTTTGATTTTAATTAGTATACTTTAACTTTAATAATAGTTCATATGATTATTTTACTTTTTATATTATTTATTTTAATTTGTATTGCTAAATTGTTATAATTTTATTATTTAATTAAAATATTCTTATTAATAGCTTTTAGATTAAAATAATTTTCTTCATAAATTTATATGATTTTAGTTTTATTAATATTAATACTTTATCTTTTAATAATATAGTCTAAATTTATATTTCTTAATAGATTTTTAAACTAAATTTATTAATGATTAATGCTGCTTTATATAATGATAAATTAGATGAATTAAATGATCTATCTGAATCTTTAAAATTTATTTTTAAACTTACCTTTATTAATTAGAAAAATTTAATAATGAATTAATAAATTTGCATTAAAAGAGGATTTTAGTTATATGATCAGAACAAGTAAAAAATTTGAAGTTATAGTATAAAAGACTACTTATAAATATATTATATCTAATTTATATATCTTGCAAATTATATCAGATTTAATCAAATATTGTAATGCTCATTTTTAACAAACTTAGTATTCTTGAAAACTTAATATTATTTACTCAAAAATAAGTAACATCATAAGAATCAATTTATACAAAAATATTCATAATCATTTATTTATATTATCGCCATTTTCAAAATGGTATACACAATACATGCATGCATAAAAATTTGATTTCCCATTAAGAAAACTGAATATCAGATTATTACATGATCATATCAACAATTAATTAATTAAATATAATCAATTTTAATCATCTCGTTTTCCCAAATAACATATTTCAATGCATGTATATTCGTTTAACTCCCTAAAAATGTATTAATAAAATGCTACTACTATATAAATATTAAGTATTAAAAATTTTTATTAAGGTTTGTGTTTTATCATTTTAAAACACGTCTTTTATATAATGGAGTACCTTATCAGTACTTGCCTTAATTGCAAAAAATGTCTTTACTGTGAGGCTAAATTTAATATTCAAAAAGAACATGTTTATGTAATAAAACTATCAAACTAAGTAAAAGTAACTGAACTGATAAAGTTAAAGTTGCATATTCTCGAGTTTTAATGCTTAACTTATTACAAAAACAATTTGAATATATTCAACAAAGTATTACTCATTTTGGTTATTCATTAGATATTAACACGAAATTTAATTTTAATTTTTATGCTGCTTATAATAGTACTTTTCAAAGGAAAAAGGCTCATAACTTACCCAATACTACTCCAAATTCTTCTGCCTCAAACATTTCTATTTCAAATTCTTCTACCTTAAATACTTCTATTCCAAATACTTCTATTTCAAATTTTTCTTCAAATTCTTCTATCTCAAATTCAAAAAAAGTATCTCAAAACCATCTTAACACAAATGATCATGATTTAAAAAGTGATGAATTAACTAATGAATTTGTGGTAATTGAATCAGAAACTGAACAAATAATTTCATTCAATTTGGTAGTAAAACCTTCTGGTAATCCTGCATTACCATCTAAATGGATAGAAATAGAAGTATTATCATTAGATGATATTCTTGCAGATGTTCATCATTATGTTGAAAAATTAATTAATAATAAAAGGATCATGCATTCAGATTATTTGATTACATTTAAATCAGAAAAAGTTGCAGGATCTGAAGCATAGTTAGTAGATATACAAAACTACAAGAAGTTTCTTTTGAATTATAAGAAATTATCAGTTGGAAAGAAAAATATGACAATTATGGCATCTTTAAAAAAAAAAGAAAAAAGAAAAGTAAAATATTTGCTAATTATTGTAAATTATTATAAAGCAATATTTAATTTATAGTATTTTTTTTTTAGAATATTTTAGATTCTGAAAAATCGGATTATGAAGATACTAATTTGTATAAAAAGAATAAAAAGAAAAGTACTGTGAAATTGGATGATTTTTCAGAAATATTACAATAAGAAGGACATGTAATTCGTGAACTAAGGGAGCAATATACATGTAATCAATATGATACATACTTTATTAATGATAGACGACATACAAAGTTTACTGCAATGCATCTCTAATGCTAGGTTAAGGAAATTGTAATTATTTTACTATTTAAAATTATAGAATTATCAAAACAATTATTAATTATAGGTTTTTTTATTTTTAGATTGAAGTACTACTGATAATACTCAAATGTCAAACTTACCAATTTTTTCACAATCCAATAGTATCAAAGAAAAGTCTATAATACCCTCAACTCTAACAAATTTAATACCTTTTTTTTTTGCTATGCCACCTCAAATGACTTCATTTGCACAAAATTTAAACATGAATAATTCTTTAGGTTCATTATTAGTTTTAAAATAGCCAATTCCACTTCTATCTCTTGATGAATTTTTTACTAAATTGGATGAATCATCAGGTGGTATCGAAGAATTTGCAAGATTCAAAAATATTTTTAAAACGAGTGAATTACTGTAGATCAAATTTATGATCTTACAGATGTGGAATTTGATCAATTAAGCATAAATAAAATTGGATGGCATAAAACATTTAGAGCTGCAGCATAGCATTACAAATAGTATTATAGTATAGGAGTATAATATTATAGTTAGTAATATGATGTTACAAATAACAATAATTTCAAATTTTATAATAAATGATTTTTTTTGAAATTAATACGCCTATTATAGTTAATA